GACCTGAGAATTCTAAATAATTTGCAGTTCTTTTAATTTATTAAGGGAATTTGGATCTATTTTATAGTTAAATTGATCATTCGATGAGAAAATATAAGAATGGAGCCTAATTTTGAAATCAGAAGCTATAAATATGCTAAAAATATAAAATAAAAGGTATGTTTTTTATATTCTCAAAATACAATATATTGAAATAATAAAAAATCTATGGTAGAATATCCTTATTGGTAGTTCATAATTAACGTAAATCTATCAAAATTACAACGAAATAAAGGAGGTGTGCAAAACCAAAACCTTTTTTATATAAAAAAATCTAAAATTTAACACAAAACTCTATGGTGGGGTATTTTTTTCATATAGTAAAATTCACAATATGTACTTAGATTTCTTAAGAAATATTATCCTATAATTTATTGTATATTTTTAGTCTTATTTATTTTTTTAATATATAGACCTGACCCACAAGTAAAAGACTAACTCTCTCACTGGCTACATAAAAATCTCGCACATTTTATAATTTTCTTTTTATTTATTAATTTGAGCATACGAGAGATTTTTCTTTTTAATAGACGCCAATATTATTGGGATGCACTATTTCTTTTTTTATTATTATTTCTCTCTCTTTCTTTTGCTAAGCGAACTCTTAATTTCTTTTGTTATGCAAAGAATAATAAAAAAAAAAATTCTTCTAATAACTGCCACACACTCCTCTAGCTAAATAGATGGATTGATCGATTATATAAAAATAATCTCCTTTTTTCTTAGGTATTGCCGATGGAGTTTTTGGCGTATTCAGAATAGTTTCTAAGCGTGGAAGAATCGAGGCATGAGAATTTTCATTGAATCTGGATTTGCGGAGAAACAATAAGCTCTACATATAGCGGATTAAGCAGTGATTGGTTGATGGTGGCCGTTCGGAGGTGCGGCACATGGGTGATGTTGAGAAAGTTGGCAAAGCGCATAGCAACATTGAAAAATAAAAATTAAAAAAAAGCGCATAGCAACCTTAGGAGAGAGAATTGCTATATTAATTTGCATGCAAAAGTTATAAGAGAATTGTGGAAACCTATATATATTTACATGCAAAAAATAAAAATTCTAAGAGAATTGCTTATATAAAGGAGAGAGGATTCTTGTCGAGAAGAAAACAAAATAAAATAAAAACAAAAAGATTATTAAGTACATTAAACCAAAGAGTAAAGATCATAGTGATGGAAAGATGATCAATCGGCGGATTTTGAATGATTTGATGAGATCAGTGGTGATGAATCTTCTGCCTGATCATCAATACTCTTAACCATGATCACTTGCTGCTTCTCTTTGTATCTCTCTATTTCTTCGACTAACAAGCCTTCCCCGGCCTCTCGGTTGTCTCGTTTTGAAACATGTTTTTGCTTCTTAAATTTGTATCCCAAGTTAAAACACATCTCTTTTCTCTGCTTCCTTTGTCAGGCCTATAAAGGAAGAGCTAGAATTACCAGTTCAATATAATTTGCTGTATACTGTATATATATGTTATATTTAGAAAATTCGAGCAATCTAATATTTTTATAAATTTCGTTGCTTAAGGGTAATGTCGTCGGTTTAAACAAGGGAATGGTTGTAGTTTAATATATATATCTTGTTACTATTCATAATAAGATATTCATTTCTTTAGAATATAAGTAAATTCACTAGCATACAAATGGGTACGTATTTAAATTATCTTTTTTATGTGTAGAAGATGTAAAACAATTTCTCCCATATATCATTTATGTGTTGCTGGCCTGCTGCTCAATTATCCGGCACCTTAATTTGTCTTCTTATATGGACATACTTAATTATTATAAATCATCACATGTCCATAAAATGTTTTGACATTAATTATTACATGGGAGCTCTTATGGTCGGACATGTATTTTTACCCTAGCGGTAGTTCATGCGATTAAAAGCTGTACAGATCAAAATCTTATGGTCAAAAGAATGTTGTTTCAGTGTTGTTTTTTCAACTCGACCCATAAGATTATAAGTACTGTTATAAACTTTTTAACTACGGTTAGAGCCATGTAAGGATTTTTTTTATTTTTTTGTGTGATCTGATAGTGGATTCAGGTGCCTCAAGTCTCTATTTGATCGTGTTTTTTTACCTAAGTTTCTGAAAACGCCAATTACTCCTTCGTCTATGTGATTTCTACTTTTCCTTCTTTTTAGAGAAAATTCAACAAGCCCTAGCGTTGGTTCAAGAAGAAGGTTGCGAATAGACTAATTAAAAAAAAAAAAAAAAAAAAAACTAAAACTAAAAGAAAACAAAACAAATACTCTTAAACAAAACGACAACCAAATTAACATGATAACCATGAACGATGTTTTTCATAACTCAAATGTGAATGGTCTTCTATTTCCTCTAGATCAGCTCGTTCTCTGATATACTCTGTTTCATCGGTTTTTATTTTTTATTTTTATTTTTTGGAAAATCAGGTATTTTATACTAGCGCAATGCACCTATTCTAATGGATAAAAAGGCAGTTCAATTCACAGATCAAGGTCTAACGTAAGTATTCAATCTGCCAAAGAAATTCATCCCCAAATGGTTCTTGTGGCTGCATTTATTTTGTCTCAATTAATTTGTTTAGTATTTACACTTTTTCTGTGATTTGGGTGAAACTTTTTTAATTTTCCAGTGATATATAATCAAGTGGATACTAGTGCTTTCAGTGGTTTATTGACTGGTATCACATGTATACCGAGGGATTACCACCAACAGTGTATCACAGCGGTTTTCCTCACATATCCACAGTTACCGGCCGATATCATGGCCATTATATGTAGTTCGGAAACTTCCAGCAGTGGGTACTGGTATTTGACCGCCGGTATCACGGTGGCTAGCAGGATTTACTGACCGATAGTAAGGTGGATATTGTTGCTTACTAGTCGGTATCACGATGGTTAGCGGCGGGTAACTTAAGGGTATAATTGATATTCTAAATGTATTTGTATGAAATGACATCATGTTCTGATCTCTTAATATATATACTCATATATTTATGTATATTCATGGAATAAGTTAATTCAACCAGTATATTTGTAGCATCCTTGTTAAGAACCCTAACTGCTCAAGAGTCAGATGCTAAGTGGAGAGGTCCAATTTTCTTAAGCCCATATAAAGACCCTATTGATGCATTTTAAGCCAAATTCAGTATTTGAAGGCGATCTAACAAGTTATGATGTGATGGACTTATCTAGGCCAGGTTGAACCACCTTTTTCTTCTATTTTTATGAGAAAATACTTACCTGGTTATAGATTTTTATTGATTAATACCTTTTTAACTTTTATATATATATATATACTAAAAAATATCAATAAAGAGTAAGAGGTAAAAATTCAGATCCATACATTCTAAGAGTATTTGTCTCCTTTCTCTTATTTTTATTCTTACTTTTTATTTTTTGATACTATTAGCTCGTTTTTAGCCTAGTAGTCTCCAGGATTTATATTTTGATGAGTTTTGATCCTATACTCATATATTTATGTATATTCATGGAATAAGTTAATTCAACCAGTATATTTGTAGCATCCTTGTTAAGAACCCTAACTGCTCAAGAGTCAGATGCTAAGTGGAGAGGTCCAATTTTCTTAAGCCCATATAAAGACCCTATTGATGCATTTTAAGCCAAATTCAGCATTTGAAGGCGATCTAACAAGTTATGATGTGATGGACTTATCTAGGCCAGGTTGAACCACCTTTTTCTTCTATTTTTATGAGAAAATACTTACCTGGTTATAGATTTTTATTGATTAATACCTTTTTAACTTTTATATATATATATATACTAAAAAATATCAATAAAGAGTAAGAGGTAAAAATTCAGATCCATACATTCTAAGAGTATTTGTCTCCTTTCTCTTATTTTTATTCTTACTTTTTATTTTGTGATACTATTAGCTCGTTTTTAGCCTAGTAGTCTCCAGGATTTATATTTTGATGAATTTTGATCCATAACAGTAAAATTAATAATGCATTTTTAAAGTTAAATGTAAATAATAATGCGTCAAAGATGTAACTATTTGAAACTCTACAAAAAATAATCAAATAATTTATTAAATGTATGTGGAGGTGTAAATTTAGACTAGACCAAATGGCCGATTTAAAATCCAATCATTTCGGCCCCAACTTCGCTCTGGCCAACCAAATTCTTAAGACCTAACTAGGCCTTGGCCCAGCCTGACGCGCCGTCAACTAAGGCTAGACTGCCTGAACCTAACTTATAGCTCTAAATGTGTACTGTTCTAATTTTCAAGTACTTTTAAAAGTATATATCAAAGATAACATTTTGTAGTTCATGTGATTATCTTTATAAAATTTAAATTTATTTCGCACGAAAACATGTGATCATGGTAATGGGCGATGATCTTTATAATTCTTTCGATCCGCACCCACATTCATATGAAACCAATTGGTTATAAAGATCATAGGAATTGTAAGAGCCGGCTCTATAGTTATTTGCCGATGTCAACGCGTAAAAGAGACTTCAAAAACAAAGTTTGAATTTTTTTTTTTTTTCTTTGAGGGAAAGTTTGACAAAATTAGGTTCACATGTAGCTTATGTTTGAAACAGACATATGTAATCGAATTACATTAAGAATGCTAAAGTCATTGTTAAGGATGAAATGCTTAATGCAGAAGTTTTTTTTTTTTTTTAAATTTAAAGGAAAAAGTTTTGTTAGACCCGTTTTCTCTTTTCTTTATCATTTATTAATTTTTTTTTTTTTTTAAAGAAAACAAAGACAATAAAAATGTTTGCATGAATGCCGATTTTTTTGAAATCGGTCTCAACTTTGTAAAAGAAATTAAAAAAAAAAAAAGCAAAACAAATTAAAAAATTGTATTTTCCCACCATGATACTGATCATTAAATAATATAACTTTTTGTCTCTCTTTTGTTTTGAGGAACATCAGAATTTTTCGTTAAACAACAATATGAATTAGTGTCATAAACCGTATGACATCAAGATTACAAAGAATATTAATGGCGTCATAAAAGGATTCTAAATAATGCATATCTATTAATCCTACACGATCAACCCTAATTTTATTTTCTTCTCTTCATCATTCTACTTTGGGACCTTCTCCTTAATTCATGCAATTGGTTTTCCCACACTTCCTTAGAAAAAACCGATGTCTTTCCCTCCATCCCAAACCCTAGACTATTATAATCAGCCAAACCAAGCTCATAATCATACATTTTACGCGAAACCGGATTTGAGAGTGTCTCATAGGCCTTCTGAACCTCAATGAACCGTCTTGTTGACTCCGCTTTTGCGGAGGGATCAAGACAAACGTCGGGATGGTACTGAAGAGCCATGCTTCTGTAAGCCTTCTTTATGTCTTCCAAACCCACAATTTTAGTGCTAAGAGATAGCACCTCGTAGAAGTTGGCTTTCTTGGTATAATTGTCCATTTGTAGCTGATTATGACCACTAGTTGATGATCTGCACGAAATAGTAGTGCCCGTGATCTTGTAAGGTATCTGCCTTCTATCTACGAATTGTGTTATATTGGGATTCATGTGCAAAGAAATGCCCATGATTTTACTTCGATTTGATGAAAAGAAGACGAAGAAGAAGATGATGAAGAAGATGATGATGATGATGACGATGATGACGATGATGATGGTGGTCGTGGTGGTGGTGATGATGATGATGATGATAGAGACTATGGGGCAGGAAGGTGAAGTTTCTTGGTATATATATACAAAAAGGTGGGCCATAGTGTGTATATATATATATATATATGGTGATACTAATATTTATTAACAATGTAAAGCCATTGTATAACACCGTTGAATGAAATTTTGGCATTACGCGACCGTCCTTGTCTTTCGCAGGTGTTTTCCAGCTCACTCAAAGGCGCAGTTGCATGTATTTTATGGCCGTATCATTTATCGCTAGATTTTTTATTTATTTATTTTTTCTTTTAAATGAATGGTGAGAGAATATGTGCCCATTTAGCATTGCTTTAATTTAGGGGTTATTTTTAACATCTTTTAAAAAGATACAACAAATCAGAGTGTTTGGTAAATCATGTTTTTATTCAGCAGCTTAGAAAAAAAAAAAACTTACTGTATACAAATATGTGTGCTAAAAATATTCATTTTAGTCACTATATCTCTCTATGGTAATTCTATACATAGTTTATAAATACCTAAATTTCTGCGTCTAGCGGTCATAACACCTCTCGAAAAATTTATCAAATATCAAACTACATACTTCTAGTCACTGCAACTTGACTAACATCACATGAATTTCAAACTAACCCTATATATGCTGATATCAAGGTCCACAAGAAGCAACCGCTGGAAGATCCATCTTCTATCAAATCCCAACTCTACTTTATTAAAAATAAGGAAAAAAATTAGATTAAAAAAAAAAAAAAATGAGATAATTGATGTCCAACTTAAAGACAAGAAAAGTGACCAAAGAAAGGTCAACTCTAAAGAGAGAAAAACTAACTAAAAAACTAACTGTAGTTTTTGAAATTAGTATAGTTGTGCTGGTACCTATATGCCAATTCCCTATGAATTGAGGTTCACTAAAACCTTCCAAGTAAAACTCAATGGGAAAACCATAAAGCAAATAGTTTACTGAATCTTAATATCCTAATAGAATCTCCAACTAGGAAGACTTGTGTGGTCTCCTAGCAAATGATAAAGTATTCTTTCAACAGCTTGCTGTGTTTTAATATTACTGTTTTTTGCATACGCGAGTGATCCGAAAAAGTTAACCCTAATATTTGATTAATTCAAATAATGTGACATATATATGTGTGTGTGTATAGTAAAAGTATCAATAAAATAGTTCTTTGCTAATTAGAGATAGTTTACAATATTGATCTCTAGTTCTTAATCTAAAGCGGAGCAAATATTTGCAGAATAAATTATACAAAAAATTAAAGACCAATTATTCACCAAAAACCAAAAGAAAAACGATAACTTCTAACATTTGTGATCACAATCCATCACTTGGCATATTATAAGTCGATATAAAAAGTTGGTAGAAATGCTGAATCATGAGCAATATTATCCTTCTAAAAAAATAGGTTTCAAAAACTACTCTACTCATCGCGGCAAAATGTCCCAAATCTAACCCGTGTTCTCAATATTAAAACGTCGTTCTTTAATTAATTGAGCCGGCATTCCAAAACTTACAAATTAACGAAGTGCCAGAGACGTTACAGTACTACCAAAGTTTGAAATAATCTGTAATGGATAAACTATGAAAATTAATGGAATGTGTCATGTAATTAATTATAAATTTTAGCAGTGAATGAAATTAGGAAAATTAGGTGGATAGTAGGTATTGGTCATCCCTTTTTAATTAGTGGCTTAACTTTTTTAAGGTAAATGGCCGATTTTTTTTTTTTAATGCAAATGGCCGTTTTCATAGTGATCAATCCTTAATAGACCGCTGGTTATTACTTATATACCAATAATTTATCAATGATAAACCGGTAAATTGTTGATTCAAATAGTTAATGACGGATTGATATTAGTAAATCAGAGATAAACAACAAATCACTCAGTCATGATTAGTTACAATTCTTCAATCATTTACTAAACAAAGACATAATTAAATGGACGTGTTTGCACATATCCCTTAAAAACTATACGAGTATTTGCAACAAAATTTTGTAAGCAGTAACTCTATCAGGAAATGAAACGAAAACATGATTAAGAGATTCCAATAGAAGTATTGCAACCTATAAGGATTTGATAATATGAAGATCATATGTATGATATATGATACGAAAAATGCAAGTTGAATGGTCAGCCAAATTATCTTCATCAGATTGATTCACATCATGGAAAACAAAAACCAGTAGGTGAAAATGATTTTTAAATTTTCTAAGTTGAAATTAAATTTATAATGCCTTAATTAAACTGTGGTATAAGTTTTAAAGCATATTTAAAAGTAAGTTTTTTAGAAGCCACGATTTCTGATTTTGATCGTAAGCTCTTTTTAAAAGTCAAAACATTTCTAACAGATCATTCAAATACTTTCAGAAGCAGCTTTTAGACCTAAGAAGTTAAAAGCGGCTTTTAAAAAGCTCCCCCAACCGGACCTTAAAAAAAAGAAAAACTTCACATGATTTTCTTTCTTTCGAATTTATAGTATCTAACTCACAATTTTAGCTCTCCGCATCTGCAAACAAAGGGTTACACAAAATTCACTATGTTTGCGGATGAATGATGAATATAATATATACATATATACGTATATAAAACAAACAAAACAAAAACAAAAACAAAACTTTCATGAGGATGCATTTGTTCTAGTGTACTATGTAGCTATCCTCTTCTCAATTTTCTTTTTCTATTGTCTTATTTTACAATCATAATTACCATAGGATTGTTAGACTACACTTTTTTGTCTTTTTTCTTTCTTCTTTTCCCTTTTTAAGGGGATTGATAAAATTTGTGTGATATTTAAATTGGATTTTTAACCATAGAATCTCTTACTAGTAGTATCTATTTTTTAACTGTTGCATTTAGTTAAAATCAAATTAAAAATAATAAAAAAATATAGAAAAAACAATTTTTAATAAAAAATAAAGATTACTGTTATTAATTTTTTCAGATCCTACCACATAATTCTCCATTTAAATTTCTTGTATATAGATATTGCATCCAAATTATTCTCTCTGCCGCTGGCAAAACATTTCGAATAATTTATCCAGCTCTTCAATGTTCACATACCAAAATTGTCTTCCTAGATTTGTCTCCGCCCTAGATTTTGCACTCATTTTCCTTCAATTTTAGACGAGAAAAAAAATACCAGCTAAACTTTAATTCAAATAGATTCACCTGAAAATTATAGTCCTTTTAGAGTCCAAGAAGTTATCAATTCGAGCTGAGACCGTCGCAGAGAGATTCATTCACCATATGGGAATTCGGTGACTCAACTCTTAGATTATTTAATACGTCACTTTTTACCACTATACATAACCCTTAAAACAGTAAAAAAAAAAAAAAAAAAAGAGCGGTAGCAGTCCGTGCCCACACAATATAACTAATTAGTAGTTTCATATGCTAAGTAAATCCAAATAAGATAACTAGTGGCTAGATGGTCAACAACTGCGTGAAATAAAGAATCAACATATTAAATCCAAATTATCCTTGAACAAGGAAAATCCAAACGAAGTGACAAAAAACTCAGGAGATTAAAGATTTCAAGATCTATAAACCAACATGTTAATTGGACATATTCATGATCACCATTTTTTAATGCAAGAGAACCATGTACACATTCTACTATTGGATGTCCAACCAAGGGGTTTAAGGCAAAACCATAATGTTTTGTTTTTATTTTTGAAAATTTAAGGTTCATCAAAACCACGAACTTCAGTTGTCGAGAAATAAAACGAGGACATAAATCCAGTAGATAATCCAGCCACCACATGCTGCAACAGTCCAATTACAAAGGGATGAAAATCAAACCTTTTCCTTTTCCCTTATTTATATGTCTCCTTTAAATGCCGAACATTTTCGGCTGTTTATGTATCTAACAACCGCCCATGTAATTTCTATGGCCAATTTTGATCAGTCAAAGATAGGTAGTCCTATTTTTCTATCTCATGGTTTCCTCTCTCGTTAAATTTCAGCAACTCATTAAAGGATGTCTTCTTAAGTGTTTTTAAAATTTATTTCTTATTCATGTGGTTAGGTTATTAAATTTAGATAATATGACAAATAAGTAATTGAGAGATATAACCAATAAATAGGAAAATAGAGATAGCAGTTTCGAACTCTAAATTATATACGTATCAGAAATTTAGACAAATTAAGAAAATAATAATAATAATAATAATAATAATAATAATAATAATAATAATAATAATAAAATATATATGACAAAATTTAAGTCGTTAAAAGCATTAAAGAGAAAACTCGCGAACTCTAATGTTAAATTGGTCATCTTCTGTCTCACAGTATAACACTTTTCTGGTCTCTTTTGTCTTTGAGAAAATTGTCAAACTTACTTTTACTTTTACTTTTAAAGTGTATGAGTCTAAATTTTTAACTCTTATTATTGAGTAATAACCTTTTAACTAATATAGTTATTTAACTGAAATTCCATACAAGTAAAGTCTATAACTCAATAGCAATCTGCCTTTACTAGGCTTCGAGTCCAACAAATAGTCTATCAGATTACTCCATCGTAACTGGCAGCGGTCATCAGAAAAGTGACAACTAGTTGTTTATTGGTGGTAATCATATAGATTACGTTTCTGATGGTGAAGAATTTCAGACTTTCAGTATTAAATAATAATAAAAAAGAGACAAATACCTTTTAAGAATGCATGGGCCTTAAATTTTTACCCTTTACACTTGATTAATACTCTTTAGTTAAAGAACTATATTAGTCAAGGTATTAATCAAGAATAAGAAAATAAAAATCTTAGAACAATGTATTTCAAGAGTGAGTTCACAAATTTTATCCTAAAAAACAATGTTTGTTTTCGTCTGTGAACCGTCCATTAAAGAGGCCGAAGATGAGAGTCTAATGTAAGGACAAAAATC